ATATCTTTATGATTTAAATCGTGTAAAAAAATTTGTGCAATACCCTTAAGAAAAAAAGGAAAAAATTGATCTCATACTTAAAAAAAAATATAAATAAGGAGGAAAAAAAATTTAGATCATTCGATATGTCTATAATATAGATCTCGAAATGAACTTCGAGAGAATATAAAAGATCTATGTATTTGACTATCGTACAATCGTCGATAAATTTTTAAAGTTAGCTTGTTATCGAAATTCTTAATTTTTTTAATGATGTTTCTAGATAAAAAAAAATTTAAATTTATTAGGAAATTTTCAAAATGACGTCAAAATTTTTATTAGATTATTTAAAAAATTAATTGGTCGAGAGGAAAAAGTAACAGTAAGAAAGGGAGGCAAGAATTCGGACGACGAAGAAGAAAAAAAGGAGTTATATATTTTTTTCCATTGGTTCGAAAAACTTGTATTTACGACGTTAGAAAAATGAAAATTATGTATATCGATGAAAAACAAAATTGATATGAAAGGGAGGCATGAATTCAGACGATCAAGAAAAAAAAATAAAGAAAATATGATACTTTATAAAAAATAACGTGAAAAAAAAAAAAATTAAACAGAGCCCCATGCCTCAAAGCCATTCAATAGGCACTTGAAATTGAAATTACAAGTATGAGGAGACAAATCAATAGTTTTTCATATTTTTAGATGAGATGGTCATTTAAGCTTCTAGACAGATTTCCCAAGAAGTTGGTGATTTATAATAAAGAAACGTCATCCCATGTGTATACAGCCGGAATCTTAAGAATAAAACTGGCTATTTTCCTGACCTTATGAGGCGATCGATTCTCTTTTTTCCCTCTTAAATGTGTTATTTATCCCGTATGGGGCCAATATATTTAGAATTTTTGACTATAAACACAGCCTAATTACACAACATTTCTAGTGAAACTCACCTAATTATTCCAAAGTCTTGGATTTGGGTTACTGATATATATTGAATACAGACGACAATATTTACGAGGGCCAAACACGCATAAGGACAGCATAGCATGTCTCCTTCCTCAAGATCTAACAGTTTTACTTTTTTCGCACTATTTTCATGATTAAATTCCAATCATTGAACCTAAAAATTTAAGAAAATCCCTTGGCAAGTCTATGCAAAAAGAATGAATATCAGGATCCTGAGAACTATGAAGATGCTGACTGGGAAGGGTCCATAGTGAATAGAAAATCAATAACAGGACATTGCACGAGTTTCCCAGTTTGAAAGCAATTCAATTTGTAAAATGCAAAAAATGACCATATTAAGCAGTGTACCTTCATCTTTCTCTCCCACCAGTCGTCGGAAGCAGCAATATATCCCGTTTTGGAGATGTACTCCACTCCAGTACTGTGAATAAGCTCCATCAGACATTTGTGTTTCGTTCGAAGACCATCCCAATGATTCTTCAGCTGCTGCTTCGTCCAACAATGACCGGAGTTCGAATTGAACAAACGGATGAGTTGGTCCCATCCGTGTTTCGTGAAGCACTTTCCGTTACGGTGACCGTCGGCTATCATTGTCTCGCACACGACAATGAAAATCCGGTTCTCAAGTGGATTCCATTGGGCGTGCTTGCGCGTTGGTGGTACTGGTTGGGTCATGCTGGGAAAAGGGTTGGAGGTGGACGAATTTACGTTTCCACCCGTTTGCGACAAGAAACGGCGAAGACGAGTTCGTTAAATAAGTTGGGTTTAGTTCAAAATTGTGTGTTCTGTAGGTGCAACAAAAAATTTGGAACTGAAAACACTTACTGAGGGGACATATGGGTCCATGTTGTGAGCTCACAAGCTGTATTCCGGCAAGCAGGTTCGTCGTCGTCTACCGCCTAACACGAGTCCGTATTTGACGGGGAAAAAAACTCTCAGACAATAGGATTTGATGGGGAAAAAATTCCTTCTTTGTGCTGTCAGAGCGCTAATTGAAGGAAAAAAAATATTTACGACTAGATCTGGAAGTTTGTCGTCGGGTGTTTGTAGGGAGAGAAATATGCGAAATGTGAGGTGCCGGTGCAAGGAAAAGGGGGAGAGAATCTTGGCAGTTGAGAGTGTGTAATGACGGGGGTAATATTGGAAAAATGAGAGTAAATGGCCTGTTGTTGTACTGCAAAGATGTCAGAATATTTTCATTAAAAAATTGTCAAACGGTGCAATTTTTTATCAGCAACGGTCCAAATTCAGCTTAAAATCACAGCCAGACAGGGCCTTACATTGTTTAAATTGATATTATTTGTGATTATAATCATGTTGAGGCGTTTTTAATGAAAATAATAAAATAAACTAATAACACTTAGAATTGACAATTGACTAATATCTCATATTGAAAGATCACTAAAATATTGGAAGAAAAGTATTTTTTAAAAAGTTAGTATCCAACATTGGAAGATTACTAAACATTCCAAGAGGAATTTTCTTTAAAAAGGAACTAAAGGAGTATCACTTGAATAAAAAATTGATTTGGGCCTTCTAGTATAATGGGTGAGCCCATCAAGATAGTTAAAATATTTTTTGGGAAAAAAATCATATTACTTGAAAAAATGGTGGAAAAAATGTATTTTTTCAAATTTGGATCGGATTATCGGATCGAATATATGATAACAGAGCAAATCGGATGTGAATTTAACAATTAAATATCCGTTGGATTGTCGAATCGGATCGGATAGGATAATTTTTCTTAACGGATCGGATCGAATTTGGACAGATCCGCTCTATATCCGATTCATTTACAGCCCTAGTCATAGGCTTCCAAATTCATTGATTAATGGAGTTGTCATGTATTTTAATGCTATTCACACAAATGCAACATAGAAGTGCTAGATAATATTATTCATGCCATTAGAGTTCGAGTAATGTTATCCGTCTAGGTGACAGCTGTAATGCATTAATAAATGAGCACCATCAATTATGAATAACACGATTCTTGAAGTTTAGAGCTGAATGGTCTAAGTGGTATTGAATAACTGAATCTGAATAGGATCATCCATTTATTGTTTTTACTCAATTCAAAATTTCTTTAGATCCAAACTCTTCCCAATTAAAAATGATTATCCACCTTAATACTATCTATTTAGTGTCCTCAATTTTAAATTTATACTAAATTCCTAATACAATATAATATGGTGTGTCAAACGCAACATTAGGGTATAAAAATTGATGAAAAGACATGAGATTAAATTAGTACTTGACACACCACTCTTGACTTTATATATTTCTCATGCTCCTTACAATAATCTTTCATCAGATAGACACTCATCCAGACTGAATGTGCTATGTTTAATAAATTCATGTATTCAAGATAATTGACACTTTTATTCAAATTTCTTTTTCAAAATATATTAAACCTATGTTTAACACAACTCGATTTTATTCTTAGTTCGAATTCATATGAAAAACATCACCAAAAAGTAAGAAAAATGGAAGAAGTAGGAGAAATTCACATTCTTGGTTCAAATTTTGAAACTGAGCTATGAATCTTCAAAATCTTTGTATGATTCGCATTGAATTGATGTATAGACTTGTTATTCGCTTCCAAAATATGTAAAATATAATGAAAATTAGGTTGAAATCGAATGGAGGTTCCCACGTTCTAGTCGAGTTTTGGTATTTAAAGATTGTATTGAATTGTTACCAAAATAAAAATAAGAAAAATAGGATTTTTATTTCATTTTTGTACCGAGCCACATGTCCTAGATACACCTCATCTTTGGTT